TTCTTGGGCCAAATGTACCCAAAATATGCTGATCTGCATATAGATTTGCTCACCTTCAGAGACCTTGTTACAAGCCTTATGGTCAGTTTTATATCACCAACCAGACTGTAAGTTCTTTAAGACTGGACAGCATCTAAACTTCAACATTCTCTAGAATCTAGTTCCATGCTGGGCTCAATATATGCTACATAAACTTGAAAGGACCTGAGAGTTACTTGTAGCATGGAGTAGTCAGCTCGGGCTGCTCTAACAAAATCCCAAACTCTCCCTCTTCTTCTAAAGCCACTAAATCTCATCATGAGGACCCCACCCTCATGAACCTCATCTAAACTTAATTATCTCCCAAAGGCCCCATCTCCAAACATCATCACATGGGGGTTAGGGCTTCAACATGGAATCTGGGGAGACACAGTGCATTTCCCAGTACTATATTAATTCCTATGGTCAGCTTCAGACCAGGGAGGCTGCTGAGGATAGGAGGGGCAGAGGGAGAGGGACCATGAAGGTCTAACTGAGATGCTTCAGTGGAGAAAGGGGCTTTGAAGGAGGCGGGAACCTAAGACATAGCCACAGAGTAGAGCTGGTGAAGGAAATGTTTAGCCTCTTTGAAAAGGAGGACATGCATCCCCCAAGGAGAGTGTTCTACCCCAGGCATCTCAGGAGTCATCTCCTTGCTTCAGGGACAGAAATCTGAGGGCATAGATTTGCAGCACATCTCCTTGACTGTCTGAGGCAGTTCAGTGAGGGGGTGACTGGGCTCCATGGAGGGGGGCTGCCGCTCTCCCCAGGAGACCTGGTTTTGTCATTTCTGGTGTCCCTTCTTTGGGACCAGGATGCCTAGACATCTTTCCATTCCTGGCCAGGGGCTGTAGGGTATTACATTTAAAAGATACCTTCACTGCAAAGTAATTTATAGTACCCCTGGAGGATAAGAATGGAGATAGATTGGCTGGGAGAGTGAGGGAAGGGGGCATACAAACCTCTATGTAGGAGAAAAAAATCAATTTGATTAGGTTTTATAAAAGGAGGGAGGGCTTAAATACAAATGGATTTCACGGGCTGCTCTCTCTGTGTCTCCTACACACACACACACACACACTCACTCAGACCCCCACACACCCCAGGGCTTCTTGACTCCTCTCAGAGACCACCTGTTTACCTGTCTTATCATCAACTTGCCTCTCCAGCTTATCACCCTCCTGCACCCTCTCTCCTCAGTGACGCCTTAGCTCCTCCCGGGCCCTGCCTGATCTTCATTTAATTTCACGGCCTGTCACAGTGCTGTGATTTCAAGGCAGAGGGAGGGCAGAGTTATTTATAAAGCCTCTCCCTCCTCTCCAGCCCCCTCCCTTGGCTTGCAGGCTCCCAGTGACCCCGCCATGCACACGAGTGGGGTGGATGAAGAGTCTTTCCTGGTCCACCGAGCTGTCAGAGCCCCCAAGACTGCAATTTGACACCCTTCTCTAGATGAAAAACAGTCTTTACGAAAAATCCACCTGCCTGAGTGAGAGCTCTGTGGTCATGCTGTGCTAGGGCTCTGAGGGATTGCAGTGACTGGGGGAGCAGCAAGGGTTGGCCTTTCTGCCTTCTTGTTTGTAGGAGCCATTTTTACACGTGGCCATTTTGAAAACAATAAAACTCTTTGGGAGCTGAGGTCTCGGTTGCGTTGTGCACTGTGGCTCGGCCCAGTGCCCTGCTCCATTTGTCTACGTTTCTCTTATTCTTGGGCTTCCTTGAGAGTGTGCAGGGTGTACTCGATTTGACCATCAGTCAGCCTTCTCTCTTTGACGTCCCGATTTCTTGTTCCTCAAATCCTCAAAATGCAGCAGTTTGACAGGATTGGAGGTTTCAGGGTCAAGCCGAATTCAAGTCCCAGCTCTGCTACTTATTAGCAAGTTATTTCACCCCTTCTGCTCATTTGTAAAGCAGGCATAAGGACAGTACCTGCCAAAGTGGGTTGAGGCAGGGAATATATACAGCCTAGCTGGGTGCCCTAATGCAATGGGCATTAGTATAATTTTAGAAAGCAAGATTGCAATGGCAGAGCGAGAACTCTAGAACACTGTGGGACACCTGGGACCCAGGATGTGCACCACGGGGACATCTGGGGCTAAAAGTAACCCTTAAATGTCCTGGGCCTGGCCTTTGGAACCTGAGGGCTGCATGGTGGGGGCAGGGCTGCATGCATGGTCAAGCGGTACTAAATATAAGCTAGGGAATAAATTTACTTCTTAATGACCAGTACTTAAAAAAATAGAATAGAATAGAATAGAATAGCATGATGTCATTCCACTGCTTAACACCATCCAGTGAAATCCCAGTCCCCATACGCAGTCAGAGCAAAATCCTAACTCCTTAGCAGAGTACTGTGCACAGCCTCTGACTGGTCCCCATCCCATCACGCACCCTGCACTCCATTTACACCAAACCAGTGGCAGTTGCCACAATGAGCCACCTTCTTTCTCCCCTCGGTTCCTCTACAGGCTATCCCTTCTGCCTGGAATGTTCTTCCTCTGCTTTGTCCAGCTGACAAATGATCACCTGTTTATTTGCAGCAAGTACATCATCAAGTCCCAGATGCAGGGGCCTCTGGCCAGAGTCAGGTACCTACCTTATTGTAGCGCTTGTCAAATTATACATATTGTAACCATTTGTTTACATGTCCACCTTCCTCACTGGGCTGCGAGCTCCTTGATACAGAAAAGCAAATTTTATGCAGATTTTTATTCCTGGCAAGAAGCACAGAGTCTATAGTAGAAGCTTAATATGTGGTTAAATGCATGGTTCGTTTTAAGAAATATAGACTAAACCTTGGTATTTCCCTGAATCTTGGTTTGATTGTTACCTTTTTTAATGGAAATAGTCACTAATGCTTACGTCTACACGTTTATTGAGTTCTAATCTTTTTTCCTTTAAAATGAAGATCGCTAACATATTCATTCATTCATTCATTCACTCACTCACTCATTCACCAACAAATATTTACTGGGAGACACTTGTCAGTTACTGGATTTGAAGTGGTGAACAGATCAGACACAGCTCCTCTTCTCATGAGACTTAGGTCTGGAGTCTGGATTTTAGTCTCATCGCACAGGGAAGCCACTGAAGGTTGAAACAGGAGAACCACACAAACCCCTTAAGAGGGCTCTGCCTGTGAACCCTTGTAGCACCCCGAGGATATGTGTGCTCCTCTGGATTTTGATGGACAAAAAGCAAGTGACAGCCCCTCGGCCCTGACCTGCAAAGACTCTGATCACCATCCCCTCCCTGCCACACTGGAGAGAGATAATGGAAGCTCATTTCAAGGGCCATAGGCTGAGGACCCTAAGATGTCCTGGCCATTCAGGTGTAAGTTGTCATCTCCCCAAGGACCTCACCTGTCAAAAGACAGGGCCAGGTAGACAGGACCTAAGGATCCTCTAAGGTCTAACATGAGTGCCTGGAACCAGGTGACTGGAATTGATATCCAAAGCCAGGTGACAACCTGAGGAGAGGGCTCGGAGAGGCCATACCACC